TCCAAAAAAAAATTAATTTTAGTATAATAAAGTGCAAGATTGAAGTTGCTAAAAATTGCGTTGAGTTTTGGGAATTTTTTCCTTGAACTTGTAAAGCAGTTCCTTCCATATCAAGATATTTGTCGAACATATTTTAAAAGATTTCTGCAACCTTGCGGAGTGCTGCCAGTTTTTCTTTTTATTAAAAAATGGGAGTTATTGAGAAAGAGGGCGTGGCACCTCCCATACAAACTGAATTTCTCACACCACATACACATTTTAATGTGAGAAATTCATTTTGTATGGGAAGTGCCACGCGCTCTTTTTCAATAACTCCCATTTTGTCCCATGACTTGGCGCTGTTATCTCTACGATGAATACTTCCAGAGATATTGTGTGCGAAATCTTCAGTTTGTATGGGCGGTGCCACGCCCCCTTCATATATCGAAATTGTTTTCCTTCTATTATCATCCCTGGAGGATTTAGAGTCGATGTCCAAAATTTCAAAAATATCGGTCCAGCTGTTATCGAGTTTTTCAAACAGAAAAAACGGCTTTCAAAATGTATATCAGTACATATCAGTATAGATAACAAGTTGAAAATTATATATCTCTATACTAAGTCATAGCACTCTACGATGAATACTTCCAGAGATATTTTGTGTGAAAGCTTCAGTTTGTATGGGAGGTGCCACGCCCCTTGATATATCGAAATTATTTTTCTTCTATTATCATCCTTTGGGGGTCTAGAGTCGATGTCCGAAATTTCAAAAATAACGGTACAGTTGTTCTCGAGCTTTTCGATTAAATAACAACGGCTTTCAAAATATATCTCAGTATAGATGACAAATTAAAAACATTTTTTGATTAAATGTTTCCTATGAGAAAATGTTTGTGAATAATTTTTTAAATAATTGCAGGCATTTGAAATTAATTTCAAATATTTTCCAAAAAAATTGGAAGCATTCAAACGTAAAAATTTGTTTCCTTTCATTTTTCAACATGAATGAATAAAAAACAAGTAAGAAAGTCTAAGTTCGGGCGGAGCCGAACATTAAATACCCGGCGCAGGTACCGCTACATGGTAAGCCGGTGTGTATCAGTTTTGAGTAAATTAGCGTCCTTAAATTTCGAAATATTGAAGTTTCAAGCATTTCTGAAATTTGCCGTTATATGAAAAGTGGTCGTAATTTGAATCTGATTCCAATAATTTTCAACGTTTTGCTTCTATGTTCTATGAGTTTGGTACAAATTGGTAGAACGGTTACCGAGATACATATAAGAGGGCGGTGCTATGCCCATTTTCCAAAATTTTGTCATAAACGTATTTCTTGGCAAAGAATTGTTGCAAGCATAAATTTTGAGTAAATTAGCTTTAATATTTGTTGATTTATCGAAGAATTCGTATTTCTCCAAATTACCGTTATATGGGAGGTAGGCGTGGTTATTGTCCGATTTTAAAAATTTTCGGCCATTTGGTATGCTGTAGCAAGACTAACAACTGTGCCAAGTTTGGAAGAAATTGGTGCAGCGGTTACCAAGATATACACATGTATCCATAAGTGGGCGTGGCTACGCCCATTTTCCAAAAAATGTACAGTATTCTTATTTTTCGTCTAAAGGTTATTGTAAATATCAATTTTGAGTGAATAATCTTCAGTAGTTACTAAAATATCGCAGTTTTCGTATTTCGGAAAATTACCGTTATATGGGAGGTAGGCGTGGTTATTGTCCGATTTTGCCCATTTTCAATACCATCCGTCCTACGCCCAAAAGAAGTGCACATACCAAGTTTCGTTAAGATATCTCAATTTTTACTCGAGTTATCGTGTGCACAGGCGGACGGACGGACGTACAGACAGACAGTCACCGCTTAATCGACTTCTCTTTTCATTCTGATCATTTATGTATACATTACATAACAACAACCGTTATCTGAACAAAGTTATAATACCCTTGTGCACAAGTGCGCTCGGGTATAACTAGAGCTTTTTCAAAAAAATCGCCACGGATAGATCGACGCGAAATTTAATTATCTCTTATTAAAAAAAAATAAACTTGAAATCGGTTCATATTTGGGCTCTCAAAATTGATTTATCCACACCAACCTTTTTTGCCCCACTGTGCGCTCTTTGGTGGAAGTTTTAAGAAAAAGATAAGTTCAGAAAAGGATTCCTCATACCAAAAAACCTGCGAATCGTTCCAAAACTGATACTTTTACCTCAAAATATTTTCCTTATCGAAAAAAGGCGGCAAAATCTGAATTGCCTAGGGGTGACAAATATTCAAATCTTCCACTGCATGTTTTTATACAAAATTTAAGCAATGTGGCAAACTCCAAATTGATTTTAGACCCATGGTTTCTTCGGCAAATTTACTTAGAATTACACGTGCAATATTTATGTGCTATACGCGCATAGTCGAAAAAATCTCCTGTACAAATTGACCCGCTCCCATATTAATTTTTCGTTAATGTCTATAATGTACGGACATCGGCCTGTTACAATTTTATTATATGTATAAACGTTTATCTTGCACTTTGAAAGCGAATTCGTTTTTGGTTACAATATTTAAGTATAAATCTTAATCATTTAATCTCGACAACATACAAAAATGAAATAAATTAACTGACCCGACATAAATTGTGTCCGCTCACACGCCCCTCATGCAAAATTCAAATCCTCTATGAAACATTCGGAAGATTTTTAATTAACTCGCATGGTTTCGGCTGGTCATCAAGAAAATGTTGTAGCGGCTATCAAACAGAACGGAGCAATCGAACAATATATTTTACGTATTGTATGTAGAAGTGTTGAACATGCATTTATTTATCTGAACTCTACCCCGCACTCAACCACACAATCACACCAATGGCGAACGCAAAGAGTTATGACCTTGACGCTATTTAAATAACCAATCACTCGAACAAAAACTGATACATATACAAAAACAGACACAAAGCAGCGGAGCATTAAAAGCAAACAAAATTACAGCAAGAAATTTTAAGAGCCACTAGGGCAACAATAGCCGTGTTTTATTTGTCCAGAAATTCAAGCTATTAGCTTATTTTGTATGGAGGACTTACCCAACATAATTATATTGGCTTATGAAAAGCTATCTTGGCTTGTATATTGAACAATGGGCATTGCCATTCAGCATCAGAAATTGTCTCCTTCAGCTAATCAGAAAGAGGCAAAAGCTTACTTTGACACTATTTGCTGTCAAACAACTGTCAAAATTAGGCTAACATAGGAAATAAGCTAATTTCGTTTTATTTGACCAAGATTTAGCTATTTGCTTGTGATGGTTGAATAAAACATGCCTAATATAAATTTTGAATGAACTATGTATTGCTCGAATTGCTGTTTATGATTATGTACCGTTTAGTAACACATTCGGAATACTAACAACAACAATAACTTCAAGACGTTAGGAACGTGTGTGGGAAAAACCAAGTAAATAGCCGATCAGGGAGAGGAGGATAGAATTTGAAGAAGCCATTATGAATTGTAGTACGCAAATTGGCAATAACGATGCCATACATCTAATATTTATATATACACGACTATAAAGGTATAATTTAAATTGAGCCAATTGCTGTTAAAATAATTTTATATGGGTGGTTGAGTAGTTTGGGGAATAAAATTTAACTATGAGTGAAACTGTTGAGACAGTCATCGAAAAGGCGCTTAGACGATATCTATAAATCGGAAAATGATCAGCCAATTACTGCCGATTCATAAAACTAAAGTAAAATATTATTATTCTATTAACCTATTTGTTTGGATACATTATTGTTGTTAATTGATCTCTGATGTCATTAATATTCATTACAACATTGACAAGCATTTTGGTTGCCGTTTTTTGTTAAATTCCGAAAGTAATCATTGTTTTGTTATATTAGTCGACAGCAAAAAATACTAGCGCACCTTTTTTACTTCTACGTTATTTTATGATGCTGATTTAAGACATATGTAAATATGTACCATTGGTTTCAGTGGCGGATCCAGCGGGGGGACGGGGGGTTTGGGGGTTAAACTACGTGTCAGTCAGTGGCGGACCCAAGGGGGTGTTTCAATACATAGACGCCATATTATGCCCACATATGCGCCATATTAAAACACCCCCCGTGGGCCCGCCACTGACTGACACGTCGTTTAACCCCCAAAACCCCCCAGCTGGATCCGCCACTGATTGGTTTCTTCAGATTAGCTCTTGTTGGCGAATTATTGCTAATTTATCAAAATATTTGATTCTCAAAGCTATGTTTTCCCTCAACATGGGAAACATTTATTTATGCATAGAAATATGAAAATCTTACGCTCGCACAAATAATAAAAACATTGTTTCGTATATCTTCGTTCAGGCTAAAGCAGGCACATTAGCAATCTTAAGGAATCAAATATGCCTCAAAACTTTTAACTTTCCTAAAATAAATTTAACGGAAGCTAAAAAATTTTCATCATATCATTAGCAAATACCACTTAGTCAATAAATGCAAGTCCGGTCTTTAATATGGTTAAAAATTTCGTCGCCATCGAATATTATTTGTCGTAGATATGGCGAAAAAACTAGATGCAGCGCTACACTGTTGCCAATCGGTATTTTGTTTACATAATAAATATCATTTGCTCATATGCTCATTTCTTACAATCTTTCCAACTAATTTGATTTCGAATTTTGCAAAAGTCGCGATAATCCGGAAAGAAGAACCGATCTTTCTTTTTCTGAAAATAATGTTATCTTCCACAAAAATTGATGCTTTGATGAATTGTATTGTTATTTTGGCTATCATTCTACTTCAAGGAATATCTGGCTCAGTAAATTATGCCGCGCGTGCCCAATTCATTTTGAATAGTGAAGTTAGGCCGTGATAAACAATTTGAATTAGGCCGCGCGGACGAAACTAATTTTGTGGTGGCGTCTTATTTTATTTGCCGTAGTTGCGTATACCATAGGCCTTTACGTTTTGTTTGCCAAAGCACTTCTTTCATAGCGTTAATTTGAAAACACTCAACTCACCTGTTAATGTCATCCATGGGTATCTTGGCAAATCAGCAATACTTTGACCGGCTCCTCCGGTGGACAAAACGCCCGATGATGGCTGCGTACATGCATTTCCGAGTGAGTCCACTCCAACGGCACCTGCAGAGGCGGCCGTTGCAGCAGCGGCATGCTGGTAGAATTGCGCAAAACTGGACGCAGAGGCAGGCGCGCTCATTGACTGATAACTGTTCATGATACTGTCTGTGTACCTGCTATAAAACAAAACAAAAAATTAGCAGAATTCCGAAAAGCAAAAACATATTAATTTCTAGGCAAATCGCCAAAATGCAAAAACTCAGCAATGCTCTTTTAAATGTTAAGTTTTTACATCTAGAGCTACCCGCCTTCCGTGGAAGCGGTTTCGTAATCTTCAAATACAAATGTTTGCTAAATGTTTACTTTTAAATTTGTGGATTACCGCTGTAAAAGCCAATGACACTGCAATTTAGAAAACAATTATGTTTAGTAGAGCGTACTGTGTTATTGTTTGTTTGAACCGTATGCAAATGTGTGAAGGTCAATATGCGTGCGAATTTTTCCATTAAGTCTCAGTTATTCCTTCAAAAGAGGCAGTGCTCAAGCATTTAGTCATGGTAAACTAAGTGTCACTCAACATTAGCTATTCGCTATTGACTACTGACCACTCTGTCGCACCCACACTTTTGAGGTGATGTAGCGGTGCGTCAACAAATTAGCCTAAAACGCTAATCATATTACTGCTAAGTTCCTGTTGCGCTATTGATTATTGACAATGAAGTCGAGTGTTGTGGTATTGTCTAGACAGCGTGTGTGTTCTAATTTTCTAGCTGGATTAAGTATACTTTTATTGTTGTGTTCCCAGCGCTTAGGTCAGCGTGACGCACGATTGCACCATTCTGTCGGCCATTATAGTGATAACACAATACTTGTTGTCATTAGATATAATATTTAGTAATAAACATACCTCTTAAATACGTATCGCACATTTAGTAATGTGGACAATTAATTAAAAATTAAAAGTTTGTGGGAAAACGCATTCAAAGTTTGATCAATTCATATGGTGGGTATAGAAAAAACAAATGGGGGAAAAAAATCCTCGCCATTTTTGGGGAGTTTAAATTTCTGTTAGACTGAACTTATTCACCTTATAAAGTGTATTAATTCTATGATAAAATCTCCAAATAAATTTGGAATTAATTATATTTATTTTACATAAACGTGCGATACATTCGGAGCGCCGAAACGAGCCTAGCAAACGCGCAAATTTATGCACATTAGACTGCATTACTCTCCATCCAAAAAAAAATCGGTACTATTTTTCTATTGGAATTATAAAACCTATTATATTTTAACACGTCCAACAAAATATTTCGGGAAGATATTAAGATTTACGTGAGCTGGACCGATTTGAAAATACCTCCAAAAATGTAGTTTTTTATGAATAAAAATAGTTTCTTAAAGATTTTTTTTTTTTAAATTCCCTCAAAAAACTTGCATAAAAATATTTAAAAAAAATTTAACGGAATTGTAATTAAGAGATTTTTGATGCTGTTTTTTAAGTTTTTTCAAAGATTGGTATAAGAAAAACTTGAATAACTGAACCGATTTTGAATCAAGAGGTGTCATTGGAATGGTATTTTCTCACCCTTTTTATATCTTTGCTAATAAACTCATTCAAAGGATGAAAGAAAAAGGTAGGGTGAACGAATATAATTCAAAGTTGAAGTAAGATGTGTTGGCATTTAAAAAAAAAATATTGCGACATGAATGACTTTTTTTTGGACAGAAATAAAAACAGTGTAAAAATACCTTTCTACTGAGGTCCCACAAGTCTAAATCGGGATAGTTTTGGCCCAGTTATTCAAGTTTTTCGCAAATCAATCTTTGAAAATAGTAAAAAAAACAGCATCAAAAATCTCATTATTACGATTCCGTTGAAAAGATTTTTAAATATTTTTATGCAGATTTGTTAAGCCTAATCTGGTTTGTCATCTGAGGAGACTTTTTTCAAAAAGTTATTTAAGAAACTATTTTTATTCATAAAGAACTCCCTTTTTGGAGGTATTTTCAAACGGTACAGCTCGCTTAAATCTAAATATTTTTCCAACCTTCTTTGCCTGAAAAAACCTCACAAATTTGGTATGTAAAAGTAAACAGACAATGTTTAATTTTGCACACACTGGGAGAGGAAACTGGTTACCTCTCGTTATATGC